ACCAAACTTTTACAGTGAGTGGCTGGCAACAGTGTTGCCAGTGTTCTACTGTAAAAAACCCCGGTAAGGTCTAACAGTGTACACTATTAGTCGTTTTGTTTATTTATTTATTTGTTGTTGTTCAGAATGATTTTTACTTTTACTCTTACTTGGGTAATATTCTTTTCGATAGTTTTACTTGTCCTTGGGTTAAATTGTTGGCTTCTCTGCCCATGTCTTTCAGAAACATATGTTGTTTTAATGTATTCATAATGATAATTTTGGTGTCTTGAATTGTATATTTTCAAAATAAAAGTTCTGAATGAATGAATGAATGAATGAATGAATGAATAAATGAATGAATGAATGAAGGAATATTTTATATGTAGACCTTACAGTTAATATTAACTAAGGTTTGCAATTTTATTGATGAATATTTTTTGTATTAAAGCCAGAGCTGAGCATTTGATGTCCAGATGGCCAGATAGTCTCTCAGGTGATCAGAGAAAGAGAGCATGTGACATTGTTCTGATTAAGAACAGAACTTCAATTGACAGAAAATAGTCTGTATTCCATAAGCAATCTGTAGTTCTGTAAGTGAGGTTGTGCAGATTTGTTGGTTAAAAAATGGAGACAGTGTAAATAAAATATTTATAATGACAATCTTTAAAAAAATCTTTCTTTGCATTCAGGATTGATCTTTATAAAACCCAGACCCTTGTGCATGTCTGCTTATATATTCATGGTTTTATCTTGCTGTGCTTTTTGCTTTTTCTTGCTGTACTTTCCTATCCAGTCAGACCGCATCATTTGCTTTGATTCACAGCTTTACCTGATTTTACAGCACAAGTAAAGAAATACTGGCTCAGTAAAACATGAAGCCCTGAATCCTGTTGTAGTAATGCACAAAGGGGAGGCAGAAGAGTTATAGTTTCTATTGTTTATATTGAAATACTAAAACCATACTGTGGTAAATTTAAGAGCATATGCGCATGTGTCCACATTGTGTGTGTATCCAAGTTGTGTGTGTGCACATATCTCCCTCTTGCATCATTTGTGCAGCCTACTTTTGCCTACAGAAGCTGAATGGATCACATATTCATATTTGATCCACAGAGAACACTAAAACATAATCTGTGGTGTGTGTTGAATCCAAGGGGTCCAAAAGGTCACATCAACAATTAAAGTACATACAATTAAATACAGTACCCCTCCAGCCAGCTTTCCAAACTGCTCACCAACTGTGTGCTTTTTTAAGTATGTAACTATGTATATTTATTTATTTAGTACACTGTTAACCCTTACTGTAGATTATGCAGTAAATAACTGTAAAAAAGCCAGTGTTTTGCTGTAATAAAAAGAAACAGTATTTTACTGTAAAAGGAGCAGGATTTGTATGAAATTTTGTAGTGCAAAGAATAAATTACAGTAATTTACTTCATGTACCCATTACAGATAGTTACTGTGATAATAAATGGTAAATTACTGCTCAACCATTATTACCCCATGTACTCTGATGCTTTGTTGCTATATATATATATATATATACTGTTCAGTTTTGGTATGTGAATGGTCAGTATTGAGTAGAAAGTGAGACAATGCATTGATAAGCTAAATTTCTCTGCAGCCATCTCTGTGTTTTCTTTGGTTCCTTTTATGTTTTTAACATTGAGTATCAGGAATTAACCAATGTCAAAGTCACAGAGCTAATTAAAAGGTAAAGATATCAACGAGATGCATTTAAAGGCAAAAATATTCACACAGAGCAACCAAATTATCACAATAATTTTTATAACTTTGTTTACTTTTCTATAATTAATATAATTAGCCTAGTTTAGCCTAAGTTAAGCTTTTAAATTGCACTTTAAGCTGAATATTAGTATTTTGCTAAATAAAAATGTGTTATTTAAAAAAATATCTTAAACAGCACGTACATACATTTTTGCAGAGACTCAATTAATTTGTTTGGAAAACTTCAAATGAAGTAGGTAAAAATGGCATTAACAGTATAGTATAAATACTTTCCTAAATAAATGTATTAATCAGGTTATTTGTTTTTTTTATTATTATTATTACTACAGGTTTGGAACAACATGAGGATCAGATTATTTATTTGTTTGCTTTGGATAAAGTTTTTATATTTTTATTGTTTTTACTCAATGATATGTGCATGATTGTGATAAATGTAGGCAATTCCTTTGAAAATATGCTAGGTACACGGGATGTCAAACTCCTGAAGGGCTGCAGCCCAGCAGAATTTAGTTCCAGCCCTGCTTCAACACATTACCTTTAGATTTTGTTTGATCAGGTGTGTTTAATTAGTATAACTGCACTGTTACTCTGTAGATTGTGCAGTAAAGAACTGTAAAATAGCCAGTGTTTTGCTGTAGTAAAAGGAAACATTTATTATTTATTAACACATATTATTTTCCTGTAAAAGGAGTAGACTTTGTATGAAATTGTGTAGTGCAAAGAATAAATTCCAGTAATTTACTTTATGTACTCATTACAGAAAGTAACTGACAATAAATAGCAAATGTTCAACCATTACTGTCCCATCTTCTCTGACGGTTTATGTTGCTATTTATAGAGACTTGCATTTTAAAGGCAGAAAATAATGATTTAGGCATCACCACACACTCCCACAGGCTGTCTGTCTTGTTCTAAACACAAAGGTGTTAGAAAGAGTTTTCAGAAAATGCTGGCCCTTTAAGGGAGCCAGGTGTTTGATTTGTTTACTGCTGAGTGTGCTCTATTCTCTTTCCATCAATTCAGATGTAGAGTCTGATATGTATTAGGCTTTAAATAAGAATCTACAATGAGTAAGTAAAATGTGTTCAAATGTTTTTGAGGGTTTCTAAAATAAGGCTGTGTTTTAAGTTATATTGTTGTTATCTTGAACTGTGTACTTGAAAGCTACATTGTTAGCTAGTTAGCCTCTCCTCATATAACTTCTTATATTACTTTTGTTTAAGAATATGTATTTATTTTATATTGCACACTGCCATAATGTACAGATGCTAACAGTTGTATGTATCTTTCTGGCAACTAAGCCAAAATTAAATTCCATCATCTCAGTAAGGGAACATTTGCACATTATCACAGGGAATCACAAAAACATGATACACATAGCCATCCACACACAAAAGCTCCACTGTCCGGTCCCAGGTTGTGAGTTTGTTGCTAAGTGTTTTTCAAAGCAGTGTTTCCACTTATGAATTTATATTACAAACAATAAAAAAAGTTTGTTGTCATGAGATAATTATAACAATAAAAGATTGGATCCTTTGGTTTTTTAGTGTTGCCAACTTTATTTTTATTTTTTATAATTATTTTAAACTTTTTATTGAGATTTGACACAGTTTTTAATTATTTAAAACTTTAAAATTTTAAAATAATTATGATATGTTTTTTGCTGTTTATTTGTTGATCTACCTTCCTGCAGATTTCAGTTGCTATCCATATCACACACACCTAAACCAATTAATTAGGACATGAACACCACTTGATAATTACAGGCAGGTGTGTTTGATATGGGTAGCAACTGAAATCTGCAGGAAGGTAGATATCCAGAAACAGGATTGAGCACCCCTGCTATATACCATGGGGGTCAAACTCCAAGTTCCTGGAGAACTGCAGCGCAGCAGAGTTTAGTACCCACCCTGCTTCAACATTACCTGTAGATTTCTAACAAGCCTTAATTAGTTTGATCAGGTGTGTTTAATTAGAGTTACAGCTTAAAGTCCCGGTCACATTGCACTTTTCTCCCTATAGACTTCCATTCATACGCATGTGAGTACTGCAGACCTGGAATGATAGCTCATGCAACAAGTTTCATAATTCGCAGCATTGGAAAGATCAAGCTTGGAGAACGCTGACATGCGAAATTACATCATGTGATTGCTTGAGAGACCAATCAAAGATCAAAACATGACCTCTCTGGCTTGCTTTTTCAATCTCTAATTTTTTTGTTTAATTCCACTACTCGCTTTGTTTAATTCCACTTCGCAGTGCAGTATGACAGAATTTTGCATGCTCAAACGTTAATGTGACCGCAGCCTTACTGTGCAGACCTGTAATATGCAAGACAATATTTATATCTGCTGATTTCTTAATTTTGTTATACTTTTTCTGTTATTTATTTGTTTGGTAAACAAACCAAAACAATAAAATAAATTTGTCTGAAAAATGTTATGCCTTCTATTTTTTAATAACAGCTAAGAATACTGATTATTTTTAGTAACGCTACTATAACTATATATGACATACTATTAATTTGTATGCAGTATAATGCTGTGATTTGTAACACTACAATACAGTAATTAACTGTACAGTTTCCAGTTAGTTACCACTGCTGCTCTATTACAGTAATTAACTGGCAACACTGTTGCCAGCTACTTACTGTATCGGTTCAGTTACAGTAAATAACTGGCAACACTGTTGCCAGCCACTCACTGTAATGGTTCAGTTACAGTAAATAACTGGCAACACTGTTGCCAGCCACTCACTGTAATGGTTCAGTTACAGTAAATAACTGGCAACACTGTTGCCAGCCACTCACTGTAATGGTTCAGTTACAGTAAATAACTGGCAACACCGTTGCCAGTTACTTACTGTAACCGAACTTTTACAGTGAGTGGCTGGCAACAGTGTTGCCAGTGTTCTACTGTAAAAAAACCCGGTAAGGTCTAACAGTGTACACTATAAAATAGAATATTTATTTTAATTAAACAGTTAGATTCAAGTATAGAAATAGACTCACACAATTAATTATTTCAATTTAGCTTTAGTCTCTCAGCTTATTGCTTGTCATGAAGATTGATTTATGCTAATGTATGTATTAAGTTATAAAACAAAAACTAAATAATGGAACATTTAAAAATAATTGAGTATTTATTTTCATGATATTTTTATTATTATTGTTATTAGAATTTAATTATATAATGTATAACCTGTGTGAATTGGCGAACATGATATAAAGACTTTAGATACTGATCTAATAACCTTTTATTTTCTTATAGATGCTGGTTCGGGATCAGGAGATGAAGGTAAGGCCAACTGGCCCAAAATCTTTCCATTCTGCCACCTGAATGTGTGTATAGTACACTGCTTCTGAAATCCGTCTGTACTTGTTTACACTTGCTCATGAAGCTCGTAAACACACAGTCACTTCCTCTCAGCCTGTCAACAGTCATTGCCCACTGACACTGAGATTCAATTACACCCACTCACATTTTGTTCAGAGAAATACAATTATTACCCATACCTACTATTATTTGCTTTACTACTACTATTATTGTTTTTGTGCATGTCCCTTTAAATGCAAATGTTTAAATCTCTTTAAATGCAAAAGTGTGTTTTTCTTTAAATGCATGAGTTTGAACATGCAAACATGCCTACAAAAAAGTGGTAGGATAAAACAATATGATGTGGCTCTTATAAAATGAGCGAATGCTCCACAATTTAAATTTTGATAGTTCACATTTAGCTATCGCTTGATATACAGTAATTTGCAGATTTGGTATGTTGTCCCAGAAGAGAACCCTGAGCTCGCTGATACTTGAGCCCTGGGCTCCTGCCTGGCCATGTAGTATGATAGTCAGTCCAAGATCAGGTAGGTCTTGAGAGCTCCCCCTGGTAAAGGAGGAAAGATAAGGAAGGAGGTTGAATGGGCTTATTTGTTGGAGGCTAGAATTCATCTGATTGGTCTAGCAATGATATCTGTTTGAACTAGCAATGATTATTGATGCAAGACTAGCAGCAATCATTTATATCATGTGCTCCTCTCAAAATTAGTTTATAAAACTTCATTTTGATCTTCAAACATGTTTTGGTCTTCTATTGGTCTAACAGAATCATGTGATGCAAATTCTCAGGTCAGAGTTCACCAAGCTTGAACTTTGGAATGCAGGGACATGCAAAACTTGTCGAGCAAGCTTGTGTTTCCTGTCTGTTGCAATCACATGCATATGAATGGAAGCCTATGGGATAAGTATTTAGATTTAAAAGTATATTAACAAGAAATTCAGTGTCATAATAGGGAAACATTCTCAAATGTAAAATGAAGTAACCTAGAGAACTTTGGCTTTCATTGGTATTGACCCATCCTCCAGAGTGTATCACTTTCAGAGAAAAGCTTTCCAGAACAATGTTGTCTGGGTTCACATATTCTGAGTGGATAGTTGAACTATCTGATTATAACGCTTATAGCACTCATTCATTCATTCATTTTCTTGTTGGCTTAGTCACTTTATTAATCCGGGGTCGCCACAGCTCAATGAACCGCCCGCTTATAGCACTTTTTCAATTTAATTGTTTTCAATTTATTTAAATATCTTGCTTTTCTAGTCGGTCCTTTTATTCCATACCAGGCTTAATTGAGTACAATGGCATGCCTCTGTGCTGCTGCTCAGTGCTCTCTGAGTTTGCTTGACGTTTCCTGTTTACTAGATGCGGTCTGTGCATTTTGCCAATAGCAGCAGCTTGGTTGGGATATGTGTCTCTTGGATGGTATTTCTCCCTGAGGAGGTTATAAGTACATTTATATTTTACACTACTTTGTGATTTCAATTCTCTGGAGCTTTCAAAGAAATAGAATCTCATCTGCATAAGAATAATGTCATCATTAGATATTTTTTCAAAATGCTTCTTGCATTTGACCTATGTTAAAACCCTGTAAGACCTGACATATCAAAAAATAGCCAGAAGATTATAATTTTCTGGAACTGTGATGTTTATTAAACCATTAAGCAAAATAAAAAAAGCCACACAATTATTCATGAAATTTATTTTGTATCACATTTGATACATCAAGCGTTTGTGCAACCTTTTGCTCAAAATAATGATAATTTTAATTACAAAAAAAATATTTTTACCCTTAATATTTTAGCAAAAGAGAACCTATCAGGCAGTTTATCTCTTTATTTTTTGTTACTTTAAGCATTTTACAGTGTTTTATCATTTCACTTTGTGGTAGGCGTACTAGTAGTTTCAGTTCTTGTTCAGGCAAAGATGCACTTTACATTTACACTGTACACAGAATTGAGAAGTCATTGCTGTTGCAGTGTTTTTATCTTTGTCAGGTTTCTCCATGTTGGAAAATGATCAGGATCATGCTTGACCTTTTATAGGGTGCATGTTCATGTACATGCCTAGGACTTTCTCAATCTCTTTGGCATCTCTGTTTATAGACTTGCCATCTTTGAATATACTGCACTTTATTTGTTCCCCAGTGTCCTGTAGCATTTCATCAGTGGCAAACAATTTCAAATTCTTTCCTCGTGTATCAAATATGATATGTGAGGTTTTAATGGGTTAAAAACTGTATCTAAAGTATAGGTGGACATAATCTAGAATAATCTATATTAATAGGGCTTCTTTGAATTCTGCCGAAGCATTCAGAATATGTGTGCTACCCAATTAATGACTAAATGTAAGTCTTTGAGAACAGCTTTCTGCCAGGTGGTGCAGCAAGGGCTCCTCTCCCGTTTCCAAAATGCATCACAAACTGCTTGAGAAACTGGTCTACTGTGATAATTGGTGATGTTAATAAATTATGTTTAGTAAGATGTACTTGTGTTTACTAACTCTTTATTCAGTTAAATATGAATTTTGAACTGCGGGACTACATAGGCTCAAAACGGCAAATTTTTATTTTATTTTATTTTTTTATTACCTTAATCCGACTAAAGTCATAACTGAACTAAACAGAAATGGAATTAATTATGCAGATTGCAATAATGCAATATCGGAGTATGCAGATATGAGTGGCATTACTGAAGTAAACACCGCGATCAAACTATTACTGTCATGTAGGACTTTACTGACAAGATCCATACACACAGCTTTCAGTAAAGAACCACACACACATCGCAAAATGCAACCGTTGTTTTCCTTTCCACTTGGTGTGCGTTATTAAATTCCATAAGACTCTCACCAGTCCTTACTCCTTATTTGTGTCTAATACCCCAGTTTGTCATAGCAGCATCAATTAAATGTTCATGAGTTAAAGTGAAACTGCCGAACTGCAGTTAAAGTCACTCAAAATTACAGGACACTCTTACATGAAAGCACTTCACGTAAACCCTTTAATTATATTATTATCTATTAAGGTAAAGAACTAGATTACAGATGTCTATATAAGCTAGTCAGTAGTGTCTTCAAAGTTCTGAAAGATCCAGAAGGGCATCCTGCTGATTCAATTCAGAACGGCACTTTTTTGTCAGATGGCTCACTGGTCAGGTATACATCCGCACTAAAATATCAAGGTGAAAGTCATCATAGCTAGCGTAGAATAGACCCAGCTCCCAACCCAACTTTGAGAATAAATTACGGCAAAATTCTTTTTATCGCGCGATAAGAGTCTTGCATTAATGCAGCACGTCAACGCCGATAACGGCTCACCACTAATCTAACGCTTACATGTCTTGTTATATTTATTTTTTTATTTATTTTTTAATAGGGGTGTCAATCACATTCCAGTCATATATTTCATTGATTTATAGAAATAATAGTTTTCAGGCAAATTTAGAATAAGATTCATTTGATGGCATATTAAAACATTCTTTTTAAACATTTAATATTATTATGACATTATAACTGAAAGAATAGTGAAATAATCCTATGCTTGCTTCTTTATTATTTGATTGTGTCTTTGCTGAATAAATATATTGATCTTGCTGACACCAACGTTCTAGTTCAGCAACTATATAAAAAACAATGAGCTTTTTGTCTTTATACTGCACTGAATCTTTTCTTGCACAGTTTTTATTGCTGCATTTACATTTTAAGTCTGTGGCACCAAAAGTTTGAAAAGCCCCATTTTAGAAAACTGCTCTTGTTCAAATTGTGCTTATGAAGGACTTAATTCATCCTGAACTTCTCATTTACCAGGCATACCAATTAGGCATGTGTAGATATTTGTTAGAAAGATGGCTTTTGTGTCAGTAGATGACAGCAAATAGCTCTCAGCAGAACGAAACAATAGAGATAGTGAGGATGGAGAAGACACGATGATGAGGGGAGAGGAGAAAATATGTATAGAGAGACAAAAGAAGAGTGATAAGCAACCAGAGAATGTTCACATCGATTAAAAAAAAAGTGGTGAAAGCAAAAGAGGGGGGAAGAGAAATGGAAGGCTGATAAAGGAAAAGATAAGTAAAGAGGAGGAAGAGAAAGATGAGGGTGATAAAGACTAGGCAAAGGGAAGGGAGAAATGACTGCAGTTTATGGATGAGCAGAAAGAGGGTGAGAGAGAAGGGCATTTAGGTAAGCACAGCCCCGTCGCTGTGATAAAAATCAAATGTATTTCAATGGCTGTAGATAAATCATTGGCTTTGCTACTGGCCATAGAGGTTGCTGCTGGTCACTTGTGGTGAAGCGCAAAGAGAGAGAAACCGCTTCGGCTTTTCAAGCTCCACCAGCTCTGTCTAACTGCATCTGTATACCGGAAGCCAAATTCAGAGTAAAACTGCTGACATTCTTGACTAAAAGGGGTCACACACCAGACTAGCCACAACGTGCGATGACTTTTAGAATTGTAAACTGTCTTCTATGAGGGTACACACACCAGTGCCACCATTCAGCATCATCTTGCATTGCTAAATAACGTATAGACAACCATGTAAGGACATGATGCATCTAGTGTGACCAGCTTAATGCATTGTAGAGACACAGATGATCCTAGTGTTTGATTCTGTTTATTATCTGAACATGTATTATGCATACACATGATGTCATGGTTAACACAACATGACCAGTAACTTTCTTTTTTAAACGCACACTTTGAAAACTTCTTTTAATGTTAAGCATTTTTAGAACTCAAATTGCCATTTGTCTTGTTGTATAATGTCCCAAAACAAGCAATGGGAAAATATATTGTTGTATAATGATGAAAAATGTGCAGACTTAAAGGGGTCATACTGTATTATTCTTATTAATTTTTATCTTTGATCTATCTTGATGTGTCTTTGGAGAAAAAATTTCTGCTAATACGTAATGACATAATGATTCACCGTGAGCTGGTTGAAAATCGACTCAAATATTTGAC